GCTGTGCGTCCTCAGGTGCCGGTGCACCCTCTCTGGGCGGCTCCGCCCGCCAGAGGGAGGGCGGGAGATCCCTGCGGCAGCAAAGAGGGCGCCCCTTAGAAGTTTGCGCGGGGTGGGGTCCGCAGGCGGTGCCGGAGCGCCTGGTGTGTGTGGACCCGGATCTCCAGTCCAGGGAGGCCCCGGGGGGGCTGGGCCTCGAACCCCGCGCCCTGCAGCTGTGGGAATGCTCCGGCTCCCGGGGCTAATGGGGCGCTCTAATGAGCTGAGTGAGGGTGAACACCGGACAAGCCCTGGGGGCGTTTCGATGCCCCAGGTACACTTTGTGTGGGTTCCGACGGTCCCAGCACCCCTCCAACCCCACCTGCCCCGTGCTGGGTCTCCCTGGGCTCCGAGTTCCACTGGCTAAGCCTCACTCGCCCTGAGCCTCACTTCTCATGTGGCGAATGCGCACAGCTTGGCTCAGGCTTCCAGGAGACTCAGAGCTGGCCCTGAGCCAGGTCCTTCCCCACGGTCCCCGAGGGACACCCATGACTGAGAGGCCAGCTGCCCTGTCCCGTTTTTTTTTGTAGCCCAGACAGGGAAAGACGCAGAGGCGAGAGAGTGTTGAGACCTGAGATGGGGGACACCCTGGGCAGAGGGGGCGCCCAGAGGAGGCGCCTGAACAAGCGCGGCGGGGCTGAGAAGCCTGAGCTGAGACCGGAAGGGTGAGGAGGCCTGGCCAGGGATGCGGGAAGGGTGCTCCCCACCGAGGCAGCGGCCTAGGCAAAGGCTCAGAGAGGACCGAGGTGCTGAATGATGGAGGGATGGATGGAGGGCCCCCTGCTGAGATGCACATTCCCGGAGATCAAAGGAGTGACCTTGAACTAGTGGTGGGAAGGTTCTGGGCTCTGTGCAGGTCTGGTGTCCGCCCGCATCCCTGTTAACTGCCCCGAGACCGTGCTCGGAGCTCTCAGAGCAGCTGGGCCCTCCAGTGCATGCTTAGAGCTAGAACGCGCAGTCAGTCAACAAGCACTCATTGAGCCACTCACTGGGTGGGCATTGTGTGCCATCTGGCTACTGGGGCAGGAGGGGGCAGCAGGGAGGCCCAGAGAAGGTGGGTGCGGAGGTCCCAGGAGGGGCGATGGGGGCCCTGGGGGTGGGCAGCAGTGGAGGTAGAGTCCTTCGTCTTGGGGGACCAGCTGTAATGGAAGGAGAGGCGACCTCGGCTTGCTGGCTGGGAGACAGGTGAACGTGGGGCTGTTGCAGAACTGGGGACACCAGGGGAGGACACGCAGCCAGTGGCTGGACCTTCGGAGCCCGGGGAGGGGGCAGCTGATGTAGTAGGAGGTGACGATCTGGAGCGGGCAGAGTAATGGACAAGGTCCGGAGACACCCAGGTGCCTGGTGTGACCTCGGCCCCTCCCCCGATAGCCTCACCAGCATGGGCAGCCTGGCCGGCCGCGAGAACCTTGAAGAGGAGAAGAACTCAGGTCATATTCCAGGCTGGGCGTGGGGCACAGGGTGTGTGGGGGCTGAAAGGTGCGGGCTGGGGAGGCCACCCCTACCCCGATCGACAGGCCCAGTGGGGGTTCCTGCTGGCTTACGAACAGCCCCAAACTCCACGAGCGAATGCTGGACTCAGGAGTCGGGGGCTGCGGACCCAAAATGCCTGGGCTGGGCATGCAGCCCCGCACCCCTGGGGGCTGGGCCCCAGGCCTCAGTTTACCTCCCCTCAGCAGAAGGAATGTGCACGAATGGGTCCCCAGGGCCGGTCCTCTGAGCCTAGGGCCTGGCCCTGGTGGTGTTTGTTTACCAGCTCCCACACCCCTGGCCGTGAGCCTGGAGTCCCCAGCGCCTGGGTTCCCCAGGGCCCCATTAGCCCTTCTCTGGGGGGTCGTTAGGTGGTGTTTGTCCGCGCCCCAGTGACACCCCGCTCTCTCGGCTCCAGTATTCACCTGGGAGGTGAAGGCCAACGACCGGGCCTACAACAATCAGTTTAAGGAGAAGATCTTCCTGTGTCTGTGGAGAAATAAGTACAAGGTGGGTACCCCGGCCCCCCTGCCCTCTCCTCCCGCCTCCCACCGGCCTCCCTGCCCCCAGTTTTAAGGACGAACAAATCATCATTTTGGTGAGAGTTTTCTGTCTCCTCGGCCCCACCCCAGTGCCCATTAAAATAAGTTAATGCGAAACCTTCAAAGTATGACGTGTCCATCAGGCTCTGCCTAAAAAATCTCCTTGCGTGTGTCACTTTGGGGAATACCGAGGCCACAGCCCTGCTCGGTGAGCCTCTGCACCCAGTAGGGGCTGGGTTGCTGCTGGCTCGAGGCCTTGCCCTCAGCGGGTGCTCGGTTAAAGCTGGTCGTGGCTGGAGGGCATGGCAAGGCCCGGCGGGGCAGGGCGGGCAGGAGACCTCTGGCCTGGACGGCACCTTGACCCAGGCTCTCTTTCTAGGACAACATCATCCACACGGCCAAGTACAACTTCTTCTCCTTCCTGCCCTTGAACTTGTATGAGCAGTTCCACTGCATGTCCAACCTCTACTTCCTTCTGATCATCATCCTGCAGGTGGGCCGGAGCAAGGGCGGCCTCAGGGGTCAGCGCTTGTGCACACACCACTCCTTTGGCCCGCTGGAGTCGCCTCCAGGAAGCCCTCTGTAGATACACAAACGTTTAAGCGTGTGTTTGTGTCCGGTTGGGGGTCAGTGTCCAGCTTCTCATGGCTGTGTCCCCACTGCCCAGCCCGAGACCTGGCACACAGGGGGTGCTCAATATATGTTACGTGATGAAGGTGCGTGGGTGGCTCCCCCAGGTCTGAGGAGGACGCGTCCCTCCCCAAGAGGAGCGGCCTCAGCAACGCGACCCCCTCTGCTTTCATACATTCATCCAATAAACATCGAGCACCTACCGCGTGCTGGACACGGGACCCGGCAGTGGCCCTGATGCCCACTGTCATCAGTGGGGTCCGGTGATGGTCTGGGGTTCACTTGGAGCTCGGGCCTGAAGGGCGACAGGGAGGAACAGGGTTCCTGGGAGGGGACAGTAAAGCCAGGCTCTGAGGGGGGAACAAGCGTGGGATGGGTAGGGCTTCCTGGAGGAGGTGCCACAGGGGCTGGGCATGGGCGGAAGACCCGTTCGCGAGGGAGAGGACCTAGAGGGGCCGTTGTCCCAAGGTGTGTGGGGGCGGGCGGCCGGCAGGTGGGACCCAGGATGCCGGGCTGGGGGAATCAGACAACGCTACGATCTACGCGGCCAGGCCTATATTACGGCCAATGCTCCGAAATTTGCGGATCAAATCACAGCTTCATACCAATTGCTGCCTTGGTTCACCCTGTTCATTCCGCTCGTGTCCCTCCTCGTCATCCGGGCCACCCGAGACCTGGTGGACGACATCGTAAGTAGGGTGGGGGCTGGGGGCGTGGGGGCAGGGCGGGGTCCTTGTCTTGCTGCCACGAGGGACAGGTGCCCTGTGGCTCTTTGGTCTTGTCTTGGTGGCCAAACCGGGCGACAGGTGGAATCTGCCAGCCTCGTGCTGCCGACAGCAGCCCACCACCCCCGGGTCCCATGGCGGGTGTGGGCTCACGAGCTGGGGGGGCCCCCCGTGTGAGCCGGAGCCGGGCTCTGCACCCGGGCAGTGCGGGGGCAGGTCGGGGCACGGCTGGGGGCGGGGCCACCCCTGAGCCCCTTCCGTCTGACTCAGGGCCGACACAGGAGTGACAAGACCATCAACAACAGGCCCTGTCGCATGCTGGTGGGGAAGAGGTGAGGCTTGGGTGTGGCCCCTGGGGGCCCATCCCAAGGAAGCCGTTGGGAGGACTTTGCAGGTTGGGGTGCCCAGCCAAGCTCCCGGAGCCTTCCATGCCCCAGACATCCAGGCCGAGTCTGGCATTTGACAGGGACTCAGCCAGCATTTATGCGATGCCTGCTGTCTACCAGGCCTGGATTAGGCCCTGCGGTAGGTCAGAGGCTGAAGACCCCGTTGTTAACCCTCACCAGGCTGAGAGTTCATCTTGGGGAAGGTCTGAGGGCCTTGGACAGAGCCGGAAGCAGAAGGAGGGGGTGGGGTCAGGCACCCCCTGGACGTCCTGTGTGGGCTGGCTCCCCAGCAAAGACCTACCTATCGGTGGGCCCGAGGGGGCATCTGCAGCTCCTGCCCCAGCTTGCTCTTCCAGACTGGGGGGGACATGGGGCTGGCGGTTCCAGGGCTGGGCCTGGTCGGGGCTCCCTTTCACGCCTGCTGCCTGTGCCCCCACAGCTTCTTGTGGAGGAAATGGAAGAACCTGTGTGTGGGGGACCTCGTCTGCCTGCACAAAGACAACATCGTCCCGGTGAGCCGGTGTCAGCTCAGCCCAGACCTCCCGCTCCCGGGGGTGGGCCGCCTTCCCGCCTGTCTTCCTCCTGTCCACCCTGCCATGGTGTCCCCTTCCTCCCACTGTCCCCCCCAGGCCGACATGCTCTTGCTGGCCAGCACGGAGCCCAGCAGCTTGTGCTACGTGGAGACAGCTGATATCGATGGGTGAGGCACGGGCCATCGCGACGGGTTTGGGGACCTGGGCTGCAGCGAGGCCTTCCTCAGCGGCCACAGAGAGTGGCTCCCCAGGTTGTCCGTCCTGGGAGCACTTTGGGGCGCCTGCAGTCTGGCAGGGGCAACAGCTTTAAACCAGACAAAGGGACCCACCTTCTTCACACCGGCATTTTCGGAGGCCCCACTGTGCGCCAGCGGTGGCCACCCCAAAAGCCAAGAGGCCTGGGCTCTGGCCTCGGCCTTTCGCAGATGCCATCGTGAGCTCGGCAGGGTGGCGTGCAGGCCGGGCCACCCCTCGGCCTCGGCCTTGTCCCTCTTTGGGCAGGTGGCGCGTAGTAGGGCCTTGGCAAAACGTTAGGGTGCGTCTGGAAGGGGCTGGGCACTGTCTGTCCGCACCTCTCACTCCAGTCTCTCCGTCACCAGGGAGACCAACTTGAAATTCAGACAGGCCCCGATGGTCACCCACCACGAGCTGACCAACGTAAGGAAGATGGCTTCCTTCCAAGGTGAGAGGCAGGAGTCCATCCGCCCATCGGCGCCTCTGCCCGCCCCTCCGTGCGACTTCACTGGGTTTGGGGGACAGCTCTGGGGTGTGCCGGGGGCATTGGGACAGCTTCTAACAGGCCGGCTTACCCCAGGCCTGTCCTATGTCCCCTGAATCCATGTAGCACTCAGGGCATTTTCTGTTATTGTTACAAAATGCTCTTTTATCAGGCGTTGCATTTTATTTTTAAAATGTGATCACATTAAAGCAAGTGTTTTTGGTTGTTTAATCAATAAGGCAGCCTACGTGTCCGGCCAGGGACGGGGACCTGACTCCCAGGGCCGTAACTACGAGGAAGGGGCGGCCTGGCTGGAGGATTGAGGGCAGGGGGGCAGCCCTCAGAGGCATGAAGGCCGGCTCAGGGCCCTGAGCCTGGGCAGAGCCAGCGCTGAGGCGTCCGGGGGGAGGCTGTGTAGCGGGGGAGATGGGGGCTGCCAGCAGGGTGAGTTTGGGGTGAGTTTGTGGGGCCTATGGGGGTGGCCAGAGCTGGAAGGCGACAGAATGTCCCCTCCGCCCCGCCCTGAGTGGGAGAGGGGTCGGCCGGGGATCCCAGACGCGCCCTCGGCTCCCAGACCGCCCTGTCGCCCCCAGGCAAGGTGGTGTGTGAGGAACCCAACAGCCGGATGCACCACTTTGTGGGGTGCCTGGAGTGGGACGGCAAGAAGTACCCCCTGGACAGCGGCCACATCCTCCTGCGTGGCTGCAAGATCCGCAACACGGACACCTGCTACGGCATGGTCCTCTACGCCGGTATGGCGGCTGGGTGACAGGTGCTGCCGGGTGGCGGGCCGGAACCCGCCGGGCCAGGCCTGGCGGCTGCACATCTGCCACCACGCACGTGGCTTCAGTGGGCCCTGGGTTCTCACACCGGAGACGACATGTTGAGCCAGCACCCGGGTGTGGCTGGGGAAGATGAGTGGGTGGAGGAGAGGGTGGGTGGACGGACGGACGGATGGATGGGTGAGTGGGTTGGTGGGCGGATGGGTGGGTGGACGGATGGACGGATGGATGGATGGATAGATGGGTGAGTGGTTGGTGGGTGGGTGGACGGATGGATGGATGGACGGATAGATGGATGGACGGACAGACGGGTGGATGGATGGATGGATGGACGGACGGACGGATGGATGGGTGGGTGGGGAGATGGGGGGACGGACGGACGGATGGACGAACGGATGGACGGACGAATGGATGGACAGATGGATGGACGGATGGATGGATGATGGATGGACGGATGGATGGATGGATGATGGATGGACGGACGGACAGACGGATGGACAGCCCCTGCCCCGGGAGGGGGGGACATGGAGGAGGGGAGGGACAGAGGGCCTCAGTTTCCCTTCCTACAAAATGTGCAGCCTGATCCTACAGACTGTTCTGTGGGCCAGTGAATCTCTTCTTACCATGTGATTTTTCTAAAATGTCTCTATAAAATAAATTTTGATCCTGATTTTTTTTTTTCAAACCAACGGGAGATGATTAAAATGCTCACCTACCCTCCACAAACATTGAATAATCTTTCTTTTTTTTTTTTGTCCAATCAACTTTATCTTTCTAAAAGTCATTGTAATGATAATTTTTAAAGTAGCCACAAAACCCAGAGAACCCTTAGGAGTTCCCCCTCCCCGTGGGACTGCCAGCTCCCTCCACCCCCAGCTCCCCTCCCCCATCCCGATGGCTGAGCTGGGGTAGAGGGCTTGCCACTGCGTGTTTGTCCTTTCGGCGAGTCCCCGGGGTGTGTTGGTTGCCACCCTGGGTCCCTGCACATGGTCCACTGTCTCCCGTCCGCTGTGCAGATCTTCCTGACCCTGATGCTGCTCTCCTCGATCTTGACCTTGTTCTTTTGGTACACGATGCCGGAATTGAAGGGCAAGCATCACTACACAGGCGAGAAGCGTGTATACAGCTTGGCCACCGAGACCATCCTCATTTTCTGGGCCTTCCTCATCCTGTTCAGCGTCATGGTGCCCATGGCCATGTTTGTCTTGTGAGTCCTTGGGGCCACTTGCCCGCCTTCCTCGGCTGGGAGCGCCGGGCAGCAGAGCGCCGGACGGTGGGCTGGCGTGTGACCACCGCCTGTTTGCAGAGCCGAGTTCATCTACCTGGGAAACAGCATCTTCATCAACTGGGACGTGCAGATGTACTATGAGCCAAGGGACAGGCCCGCCAAGGCCCGCAACACCAGCCTCGCCGACCAACTGGGCCAGGTGGAGTACATCTTCTCAGACAAGACCGGCACCCTCACCGAGAACATTATGACCTTCAAGAAGTGCTGCATTGATGGCATCATTTACGGTGGGGACCGGCCCCAGCGTGTCCCTTCTCTATGGGGACACACAGCAAGGACCGGCCATAGGGTGCAGGACAACCCCCATCCCGGGGGGGGGCTCTGATCCTCGGAGATCTGAGTGGGTCTCGGGGACATCTGCCCTGCCTCGTGCTCAGCCGCACCCCCAGCGCTCCCCCCCAAGATTGGAGCGGCGGAGCCACAGAGCCGCAGGCGGCGTCCGGTGTGAGAGCCGGCCGGCCATCCTGTAGAGGCCGGCGGGCCCATGTTCGCAGTTCCCCGGCAGCACCGTCTCTGTGGCGACTCAGCCCACCTCACGCCTGGCACAGTAGCGTTCCTCTGCTTTTCACAAACCTCGGATGAGGACGCCGCGGCCCGAGCTTCCCCGCACCGCCGCGGGCCGCGGAGTCACGCCCTGCTCCCGATTGTCGCGGGCCTTCCCCGCAGACGCTGGCTTTGCATTTCGCGGCATTCCCACGTGTCACGAGATGGTCTTCTTCGTTTGGCTTCCCCCAGCCCATTAGAAATGCGAACACCCTTCCTAGCTCACGGGCCACAGAGAGACGGGTGGTGGCGCAGGGAGCAGGGTGCCCCGCTAGAGCAGACGACCCAGCCGGGTAATGACTGGGTGTAGTGGGCAGTCGCCAGTATGAGGAGCAGAAACGTGCCTGACTCTCAGCCAGGGTCTGGGGGGTGCGTGATAGGGACTGTGGGGCAGCGTTGGGGGGGTTTATGTGAAATCACCAAATTTTTCAAGTTAGGCGGCCAAGTCCACATTTTCAAAAACACCACAAACGAGATGGAACATAGCGGGCTGAGTCCCACTCTGGGCCGCTCTTCTGAGGTCCCCCGGGAGACATGGCCCCATGTTTCCCTCCTTTGTGCAAAAAGCAAAGCCGAGGCCGGGGTCCTCGGTTGCCCGGGGCATCGGGTCTGGGCCTGGCTTGTCCCGGTGGCCCCAGGAGGCCTGACGTTGGGGCGCGGGGGCCGTGGGACCCCGAACGGTCCTGGAGAGCTGAGCCTGAAGCAGCGTCTTTCCCCAGGCCCGGACGAGGAGGAGATTCCACGTAAGGTGAGTGCTGGCCGCCCCGCAGCACTGGACGGTGGTGGGGGCCGGGCAGGGACCTGCCTGGAACCGGCCTGTCCCGCTCCCAGGAGAACCCCTACATCTGGAACAAATTCGCCGACGGGAAGCTGCTTTTCCGAAACCTGAAGCTCATGGGCGCTGTGCTGGACAGGAAGGACAGGATGGTGCAGGAGTTCTGGCGCCTGCTGGCCATCTGCCACACGGTCATGGCGCAGGAGAAAGACAGTGAGCGGCCGCCTGGGTCCTTCCATGCAGCGCCCCCCGGGGCACCCACCAAGGGCCCCTGACAAGCCCCGCCTCTCCTGGACCTGGAGGGCATCCGGTCCCAGGGCTCGAGCAGCACTGTCCCTGAGCTGGGAGGGGAAGGTCATCTAAGCCACAACCCAAGCGCCCACATAACTTTGTGGGGCTTAGAGGTTGTACTGGCCTGAGAGGCCAGTGTCTTGTCAACATCTGGTGAACCTCTGCTGTGTCCACGTCCCCCGGGGCTACAGAGGTGGGTGGCGGGTCCCCGGAAGATGGCAGGCTCTCAGCGAACGCGCCTCCCGCCCCGCGGTCCCCTCACTCACCAGACAAGCTGGTGTACCAGGCGGCCTCCCCGGACGAGGAGGCGCTGGTCACAGCCGCCCGGAACTTCGGCTACGTGTTCCTGGCACGCACGCAGGACAGCATCACGGTGGTGGAGCTGGGGGAGGAGCGGGTGTACCAGGTGCTGGCCATCATGGACTTCAACAGCATCCGGAAGCGGATGTCGGTGCTGGGTGAGCGCAGGCCTGGCTCCGGGCGGGCAGAGGGCGGAGGGCGGAGGGGGGGTCACGCGCTGCAGCCAGGCCCCTCCCTGTGCAGTCAGGGACCCCGAGGGCTCCATCTACCTCTACACCAAAGGCGCTGACATCGTCATCTTTGATCTCTTGTGCAAGAAGGCCTTGACGGAGTGGAAGACGGAGGAGGCCCTAGCAGTAAGTCCCAGTGGGGAGGGAGGGAGAGAGGATGGAGGGGGACAGTGTGCGGAGAAATGGCCTCAGGTACTCGGGGTGGTCATGGACGGTTGTCCAGGCTGCGCACTGCACAAAGTCCCCCCACCTCGCCGCCGCCAACCCCGATGAAGAGGAGCTGAGCTCCAAGCTACACCCACCTAGAGGGGGCGGCTTTTTCTAAGTCCCACAAGGACAGACACCCTGTGGTTGGCTTTGGCCCCGGCCACCACCACCCTCTCCCAGCCACACCTGGGTTCCAAGACACACTCAGCCCCCCTGCCCCAGATCTCTCGTCTCCATGAGTTCTGAGGCTATGTTTCCGTCTCCTGCCGGCCTCTCTAGACTGGTCTCTCTTTGCCCCCTGGGGGTCCCCCGGGATCCCAGTTTCTGGCTTGCAGTTTCCTCCGTGCTCAGGTGATGCCCCAGGACCTCTGACCTCTGCACGCACCGTTCTCTCTGCTCAGGTGTCTTCCTCCAGTCTGTCACTCAGGAGGTCTTGGTCCTCAGGGCTCCATCACGAGGTCCCCGCCTCCAGGGGGACTTTCCTGCCTGACCCTATCATCGGGCTGATGTGTCAGGCCAGGCTCCCCAGCGCTGGCCCGGTCTAGACCCTGTGGGGCTCCCCCAAGGGCTTTGCTGGGCCCCAGCATCGCTTAGCACAGGAGCCAGAGGGATTCTGCAAGGAATGCCTCGTACCCTTCCCTTGGGACCTCCAGAGTGCCCTGCTCCGCCAGGAATCTGCCAGGAGGGGGCGTCGGGGCTGCTCCCTGACTAAGAACTGGGGAAGGGGCTTGGCAGGATGGCTTGGCTCAAGCACCCCCTGGAGTGGGTAGGGAAACTGAGGCACCCATGGAGCAAAGTCCCGTCTGGAGCTCCTGGTGGCCTGAGAGCCTGCGTCACGTCCATGCCTGGCCTCCGAGGCCCACCTCCAGTCGTGGACAGAAGTGAGGCTGGAGGCCTGGAGGGAAGTAGGGAGCCACACTGGGCACCTTCTCTGGGGCCACCCGGCCCCTAGGGAGTCTCTGGGGTGAGCAAGCTCTGCATCCTCCTGGGGCCTAGAAACAGGGACCTTCAGAGTTCTTCCTGTCCTCTCTCCCCCATAGCCCCTTGAGAAATGGGGCACAGTGGGGTAAAGACATTCCTGGGCCCAGGGGTCAGAGGGAGGGGACTGGGGCTGTGGGCGCCCTGGCTGGGCCGGGAGTGGCTGCACTGAGGGTCTTCAGGGAAGTGAGAAATGGTGGGTCACCGCAGTGCGGAGGTCTGGAGGCAGAATGGACCTGGGCTGGGGGCTGATTTAGAGCTGATTGGGGCAGGGTGGCATGTGATCCCAGCCCCTCTGGGGAGGGTGGACTGTGGGTGGTAGGGAGGTTCAGGGAGCCCAGGCAGAGGGAGAAGGTCTGGGAGGAGTGCCCAGGCAGGCATGGTGGTGACGGGGGGGTGCCTGTCCGCCTGCCCGGCCGGCCCCCAGTCCTTTGCCCAGGAGACCCTGCGCACGCTGTGCCTGGCCTACAAGAAGGTGGATGAGGATGCATACAAGGTCTGGCACCAGCGGCACCAGGAGGCCAGCATCCTGCTTCAGAACCGGGCCCATGCCCTACACCAGCTGTATGAGGAGATGGAGCAGAACCTCCAGGTGGGCGCGCTGTGGGGCGGCGGGTCCCAGCATCCCAGCTCCAGCCCTGCAGGCCCCAGATGCCCCACGCCTGCCAGGGTAGCTGGGTCCCTGCTCAGCCTGCTCTCTGCCTCACCCCCAGCTGCTGGGAGCCACAGCCATCGAAGACAGGCTCCAGGATGGTGTCCCCGAAACCATCCAGTGTCTTAAGCAAGGGAACATCAAAGTATGGGTACTCACAGGAGACAAGCAAGGTGGGTGCTGGGGCGGCCGCCCTCAGCAGCAAGAGAAGGCAGATGGGTGGCTCACGTGTGCTGGCTGCCACCGTCAGCCTGTCCTACTTGTCGGGTTCGGCACTGCCCCCTCCCCACACTTTGCCCCCGGGAACGGAGATACAGAACAGTTAGAATGACCGAGGTCCTCCAGGCACCTCCCTCAGGCTGGTGGCACCGTGGGCAGGGGCTCTTGCTGCCCTCGTGTCATAGATGAGCCCAGCTTGGGGGCGGAGCTGGCATGGAACCTCAGATCCTGTCGCCCTAGAGCCCTGACTGTCCCCTACTCCCCCACGGGTGCCAGCAGGGCCACATTAGCACTCCTGTGGGCGCGAGGCACGTTCCTACCAAGTGTTTCAAACTGCATTTTCCAGGAGTGTTGGTATAAAGACAAATGTCCAGGCTGGATTATAGTCACTTTTTTTGAAAGTGCTCCTGGGCCCTAGGCACATGTCTAATGATCCCTCGGCCCTGGCCCCAGACTCACCTCCCTCCAGCAGCCCCTCCCCAGCCAGCCAGAGTGCAGGCCCCTCTGCCCAGAGCTACAGCCAAAGTCTCAGGACTGGCTCTCATTGGCCAGCCTGGGTCACATGCCCTCCTCTGAACCAATCGTGGTTCCCAGGGCGTGTGGCCTCCTGCTGTGATTGGCTGTGGCTTGGTTCTATGCGACAGGGTGGGTGTGGCCCCCGGGGTTGGGGGGGTGGGTGGCCACTGCGCAGATGCTGAGCTGGGCTGGTTTGCAGAGACCGCGGTGAACATCGGCTTTGCTTGCCGGTTGCTCTCGGAGGACATGCTCATCCTGGAGGAGAAGGAGATAGTGTAAGGACAGAGGTGGGGGCTGGTGAGCTGGCGGGGGCAGGCTGTGGCCCCGGGGGTCTGCAGGGTGTCCTGGGGCGGCACAGCTGGGGAGGGCTGGAAGGAAGCCGGTGCCGGTGGCTGAGCCCCGGCTGGGTTCCCGCAGTCGGATCCTGGAGGCCTACGGGGAGAGCAACAACAACCTGCTGGGTGACAAGGACAGTCTGAAGAACCTGTTCCTGCCCCAGGTCAAGACGGCCATGGTCATCAACGGGGAGTTCCTGGTCAGTGTCAGCTCAGGGCTGGCTCCGCCCAGGGGCCCGGGGGCCGGGGGTGGGGGTGGGGGGGCGCTGGGAGGAGCAGCAGCCCGGGGGTGGTGGGGTGGGCTGCTGGCAAAGCCGAGGCGAACACCAGGCCAAGAGTGGTTCTCGGAGGGACCTGAGCGATGCGGTCACCTCCGGCCTTGGGTTGGGACAGGAGTGGGGAGGAGCGGTCTGCTGGGGCCGTTCACGGGGGCGGGCTGGGGTGCAGGCAGAGTGATGCGCCCCCTTTGCCCGCCCCTCCCATCCCCACTCCCCCCTCACCGGCCAGGACCAGCTGCTGCTGTCCCTTCACAAGGAGCCACGGGCGCTGGTCCAGAACGTCAGCACGGATTTGGAGTCCTGGCAGGGGGCGGAGGAGCAGACGCCGGACTTCCCGAAGGCCAGGCGCGTCTCTCCGCTGTGGCAGTCCCTCCGCATCCAGCTGAGGAGCGCGAAGGGCAAGGGCGCCGGCAGCGGCGAGACCCCTGACGTGCAGCGGGAGCAGGCCTTCGTGGAGCTGGCCTCCAGGTGCCAAGCGGTCATCTGCTGCCGGGTGACGCCCAAGCAGAAGGCCTTGATCGTGGCGCTGGTCAAGAAATACCGGGACGTGGTGACTCTGGCCATCGGGGACGGCGCCAATGACGTCAACATGATCAAGAGTGGGTGGCGGGCGCCAGGCGGGGGCGGCCCGCGGCAGGCTGGGGTGGCCGGGGGCTGACGGGCCGCGTGTGTGCCCCGCAGCTGCGGACGTCGGCGTGGGGCTGGCGGGCCAGGAGGGCATGCAGGCGGTGCACAGCAGCGACTACGTGCTGGCCCAGTTCTGCTTCCTACGGCGGCTGCTGCTGGTGCACGGGCGCTGGTCCTACATGCGCATCTGCAAGTTCCTGCGCTACTTCATCTACAAGACGGTGGCCAGCATGATGGTCCAGATCTGGTTCGCCTTCTACAACGGCTTCACCGCCCAGGTGCGCCGGTCGCCGCGGCCTTTGGGGGGTGCCCGTCTTTCCCACGGGGACCTCAGGGCGGGGCTTGCCAGGTAAGGGAGGGCGTGGTCCCCGCTCAGCTCTGTGCCCATCGAGGTCAGATTTGCACCCTGAAGCCAGCGCAGGGCAGATGCCCCCCCTCCAAGGCACGTCTTCTAGGGGCGAAAGGGAGCGAGACCCCAGAGAAGACAGGGCGGACGGGGGCTGGGTCCCTGACTTCAAGACTCTCGAGAGTGTCACGGTGAAGACCAGACGTGCCCTCGGGAGCCCCAGGAAAGTCATAGGGTGATGATGTCTGAAAACAGACGGCCGCGAAAGGGAGTTGAACCCCCCTCCCTGACACCCAGGCCCTTGGGAAGGAAACCCTGATAAACACCCACGGCACGTTTCACGGTTGTATTTCCAGATACCTTACGATTTCCCCACTCCCTCTGGGGTGGGCGTCGCCGGGGCGGAGACACCGCTGTGTCCTCCCAGTCGGTCCGCACCTGCCGTCTCACGGGCCGCTTTTTTGCCCCTCGGCCCCTTCCCGCCCTCGGCGGGGGCAGCGTCCAACCCCTTTGCGTTCGTTAACGGGCACTCCGTAGGGAGGAACCATTCTTTTCCTCTGCCCCCGATTCCTTTATGCAGCTCTTTATTTTCGTCACCGTGGACTCGTGGCTAGTTATTTATCGTATTGCACATTTCGTGGCTCCGGTTGTCCCGATGTGTCCCTTCGACAGGCGCTGGCTCTTCCCCGAGCACGCCTTCCCTTTCCGGCACTGTGGGGGCCCCACACGTGTGTCGTTAGTTCCCTGCCGCGACCCCGGGGGTGGCCGTCCCCGCGAGGAGCCCCGGTTCCGCGCGTTAGAGAATAATGGTGCTTAGCCACCAAGAGCCCAGTGCCGGGTGTGCTCATCGCTACTGGGGTGCTCTGCCCCCCCTCAGCGGACAGAGCGAGGGAATGGGCACGCCGTCCCTGTGTCTGTGTCTATCCGTCCGTCTGTCTCGTGTGTATTAAAAACCGAGTTCACACCGATACTTCTGATGCCAGCCCCACGGAACAGGGCCCAGCTTAGCCTTTCCCGGGTACTCATTTATGATGCTTTTCTCCAGCACCGGGAAGCTGGATTCCTGTGGAATTCTGGAGTGTTACTTATTTGTGCTCATGACATGGTTTTTGGGACTGAAACCCCGTATGCTTTTAACTGGACTGGGTCCACCCTTCGAGAAGGGGGTTGGACTACTCATCCGCGGGGTCCCTTTCGGCTCTCGTGCCCATCGGTGACTCCCCAAAGCTAAAATGACCACACACACACACACACACACACACAAAACATTCTCTATCCGTTTCTCCTCCTGTGGCTCTTTATTGAAGCCGTCCAGTTTGCACAGACTCGCAGGAGCTGTCTGAAACGGATCAGCCACTGCCGCTTCTGCTCCCGCCTTTATGCCCTGGTCTTAGCCCCAACCTTGATGGCAACGTGATTTTCTGAGCGTCCTGCCCAGGCGCTGAGGGGCTCGGGGATCTCCCGCTGCTTGGCGGCCGAGGGCTGCCCACTGACCGGCCCTCCCTCCGCAGCCCCTGTACGAAGGCTGGTTCCTGGCTCTCTACAACCTGCTGTACACCACCCTCCCCGTCCTCTACATTGGGCTCTTCGAGCAGGTGAGAAGGCTGAGCGCCCACCTCCTCCCCGTGGGTGCTCTTGTCTCTGCCCCCTTCTCGGCTGGGGTCCTGGGTGCAGCAGGGACTGGGAGACCCCGCAGCCCTGGAGGGCAGTTCAGCACCACGCCCCTGCCCATCACTGTGTCACTTACCCCCAGAACTCACCCCGCAGGACCTGAGCGCCAAGCAGAGCCTGGAGCTGCCTGAGCTCTACGTCCACGGCCAGCAGGACCGGCTCTTCAACTACTGGGTCTTCTTCCAGGCCGTCGCCCATGGCATGGCCACCTCTCTGGTCAACTTCTTCGTGACTCTCTGGGTGAGCCGTGACACGGCGGGGCCGCTCAGCTTCAGTGACTACCAGTCTTTTGCCGAGGTCGTGGCCCTCTCGTGCCTGCTGTCCATCACGGTGGAGGTAGGCGGGGCCTCGGACCGGGCCTTGGGGGCTGCACCACCTGGTAACCTAGCCGGGAGGCCTTAGCAGCGGACCCCTGGGGCCGGGCCCCCACCCTTCCCCGCGGAGCCTGGGGATCCCCAGCGCAGCTTCCCCCTCCCCCTCACCCCCCATTCAGGTCATTCTCATCATCAAGTACTGGACGGTCCTGTGCGTGCTCGCCATTTCCCTCAGCCTCTGCCTGTACATGGTCATAACGTGGGCCAGCCAGAGCTTCTGGCTCTTCAGAGCCTCGCCCTTGGCCTTTCCGTTTCTGTGTGAGCCCCCAGTGGGGGAGGAGGGGGACGGGGAGGCTGGCCCTGGGGACGGGTGGGGCCTGGGTCCTTGGGGAATTTGCATGGAGGCATCCTGGAGGTGTCGGGAGGGGAAGAGGTAGGTGTCGGGGGGAGGGGAAGAGGTAGGTGTCGGGAGGAGGGGACACCGCGCAGGCTCTGGGGAGGCCCCAGCCCCAGGCTGAGCCGTGACCCTGCCCCGTCACCAGACGCGAACCGCAACGTGGTGTCCCAGCCGTCTGCCTTGTGTGGTCCTGTTCCTTGAACACCCTGCCCGTATTAGCCTTTCGTATCATTTACCAAGCTCTCAAGAAGCCACATCCCAAGGTGAAGGAAGCTGGGGTCCCCACTGCCCCTTCATGGAACCCCAGCCTATGCAGGGAACAGGTACTCCGAGGAGACATGGGACTGGAGGCAGGGATGGAGACCCAGACGGACACCCCATGCCCCCAGGGAGCCATCCTTCCTGGGGTAGAGAAGGCTAGACCGGTTCCGGCACTGATATCATTGGGCTTCCACCAGGAATGGTCAAGGACGTGGGGGTCGAGATGACAGAAATGACCCGGAAATGGTTTAGGTGAAGGGGAGAGCTTAGAAACACTCTTAGTGTCCATCGACGAACGGTGGGCAGACACAGTACGGTCCGTCCACACGGTGAAATATTACTCAGCCTCGAAACGGACGTCCTGACACCTGCTACGACATGGATGGACCCGGGGGACATAAGCCAGACACAGAGGGACACGTCCTGTGTGATCCCACTCACCGGAGGTCCCCAGAGGAATCAGATTCAGAGACAGAGAGTAGACAGTGGAGCCAGGGACGGGGGGGAGAGTAGCGAGTGTGTAACGGGGACAGGGTGTCCGTGTGGGACGATGAGAAAGTCCTGGAGGTGGACGGTGGGGACGGCTGCACGACACGTGAATGTGCTTAAGGCCACCGAGCTGTGCCCTTACGAATGGTTAAAATGGTCAATTTTACGTTGTCGATTTTACCGCAATACAAAAAGGTGGGGGCACTTCCTGGCTCGGGGTCTCCAAAACCTCGAAGGACCAGATGCAGCTGGGAGGGGCTTCAGAATTGACTGGAACAGCGGACGGGACATGGCCACAAATCCTGCCCGGGTTCTGCCACACAGGCTGGACTCGTGGCTGCCCCACGGTTTACCTCTCCGGGCTTTGCCACCAGAGGGAGCTTAAGGCACCCGGTGGCTGGTCACAGTCAGGTCCCAGGGAGCACTCTAGCTGGGTGAAGAGCCTGGTCGATAAGTGGCGGCGCGGGGCTCTGGATGGCCCCTCTGGGAGCGGGTGGCCCACGAGCCGCGGGCACAGTGTGGGAGCCTGACAAGGCCTGCCGGCCCCTTGCTCTGCAGGAGAAGGCGGAGGCGGAGGCGGAGATCCCGTCGCAGGAAATCATCACCGTGGATACTCAGCCCTATCTGCATCGGGGGTCCCGGAGCCGGCGCTCCAGCTACGCCTTCTCCCACCGCGAGGGCTACGCGGACCTCATCACGCAGGGCACGATCCTTCGGAGGTCCCCGGCGATCAACAGCGACATCCTGGCAGATCACACGTTCCTGCCCGATGAAGAATTGGTTCTGAACATCACCAAGTCGCCCTGGTACCGTAGGAGGATGTCGTTCCTGGTGAGGACGCTCCGGCTCCAGGAGAAGGTGTCCTCCGAAGAGGTGCCTTCCACCTCCACCGCGAGCTCCTCCCTGACCATGGAAGGGAAGACCTCGGGCACCAAGAGCACGACCCCCTCCACGAACGTGCCATCCACGTCGTCCCTCGAGAAGCTGTCAGCGAAGCAGGTGCCGCCGTATTCTCCCGAGGGTCTGCCACCCACCACGGAGAGGCCACCGTCACCCAGAGAGAGCCAGCCACTGCCTTCGTACCAGTCGTCTTTAGAGAACCGGCCAGCATCCCTGGAGGAGAAGAAGACCTTTTGGAAGATGTCGCTGCTGTCCTGGAAAAGCTGGCAAAAGGAGTCCCACTCCTTCGAGGCGGGGACGGCGCCGCCTCCCAACGAGACACAGACAGCCTGCGCTGCGGCGGAAACTCTGCCCCCGAGCAGGGTGGGGTCACCCACATGCGAGCAGGCGACGGAGGTGGAGCCCTCAGCCACCCAGGGGCCGCCAGCGCCTGGCGGGCAGCCAAGTGACACACCGCCTGGCACGGCAGCCCCCCCGCCTCCGCCTCGGGAGGGACAGTGACTGCCCAGGCCCAGTAAACGTCAACCTGCCGAGGACGAGGCTCCACATCCATTTCTTTTTCTAATAAACGGGGGTCCGTCTGACCTCCTGGGGGCTCACTGGCTGCGGGGCTTCCCTCTGTGCCTCCTGGTTTCAGAATCCAGGACACTGACCTCTAGTGGCCAGGTGGTGGAATTGCAGGGGAAGCTGGGCCTTGTGGGTGGG